AAATAAGCAACTTTTGGCAAAGTTTACATATAAACTCTACGCAAACTCAAATGTGAGTTATATTAGTATAGTTCGGGATCCTATATTCCATGCTCAAAACATATTATACATTCTATTATAGTTTCAGCTTTCCTTTGTTCATATCATGAATTAATATGATTATCTAATGAACAATCACAAGCAAATCCTAATATCAAACATAAGGAAACTTTTGTACTCTGATCTATATAAATGGATGGATATTGGAAATCAAAATATATGTTGGATCAGGTAAGCTACTATACTATATTATGTAGAAATTTAAGAAAAGATTAAAGTTTCTCTTTATTTATAATAAAGCTCATACATCAGGTAATTCCAATATTTGAGATATTGCATCTTGAATGTATTGGAGTTTTTTGCTTTGATTAATTAATAAACTACAATGCGATGGTAGTTGATATCTTATTGCATCAAGAATGAATATGAATCCCAGAGGAAAGTAGCCTACAATGCATAATGATTGATATGTCAATGAATATGGTGAGAAGATTGAACAACCAATGATATTTTCAGACAATCATCAATTTAAAGGACAACCAAAAAGTATAAAGTAAGCACTTAAAGAACATAATCTTTAGCCAATAAAAAGCATTTGTTTAATATGTAAACAGTATTCTGATAAATGTGATAAAGTTAATCCAAAAAGATTAGACTGTTATGCATAATGAATTATGTCACTACAACTGGATTTTTGTGAATAACGGTCAATATTAGAAGAAACTATTATAGAAGCAGAATATATATTTGAACAATATCCAAAATTTCATTGTAAATGTAACTTTATAAAGTAATACTGAGGTCATACAAGTGAGAGATTAAGAGATTATATAGTTATAGTTTTGCAGATTTATTAAAGCAGATTCCAAAAGTTCTTGCTAGTATATCTATTCATAAGTTTATACATAAGTCATGAAGATACATGGATGTGTATAATAAAGGGTTAGAGAATAGAGTTGCAGAGTGGGTTCAACTACTCATGCCTATCATAGTAAACTCCTTTCTTTCTCTCATCATATTTATACCTTCACAAATGCATATAGTTCTGGCAGGTTTTTTCAGAAACTGTATCTTTCTTAATTTGTCTAACTAACTTTGGAAATAGTATTTCTTCAATATATATTTTTAGGTTTCTAGGAAAATAAGATTCTGTTGTTTATTACTGTAATCAAATTTGGCAATGTTCCTTAAAATCTTTATCATCCAATAAACTTTCTAATTTTTTGTGTTTTTCTTGATAGTAAATAAGAAGTTCTCCTATCTCCATAAAATGGTTTTCCCATTTTAAATATATCTCGTCATATAGTCACCTTTATTTCATATAGTTTGTGCAATCTTATTGCTGGTATCCATTTTACCTCACCTATCTAATAATAGCTGTATAAATTTACGTATATTTAAACGTCGTAAATGGTCATAGGTAAAATGTTTATTGTTTACTTTCGCAGATTTTAATATTATGTATTAATGATTTATTTGTTTTAAGCGATTTTGTAGATTTTACGTAATTTTAAAGATTGAGATAGAGATATTTAAGATTCTAAAAATGGTCATAACACCTGTGATGATTATAATGATTTTGATATGAATATACTAATCAATACTTTAGTATTTCTGAAATATGTATCAAATATTTTCATTCCTTTTGTATCATTTTTTAAACATTTTTTTTCTTTTTTCTCCCTTTAGATTGTAGTTCTTAAAGTTCTAATGTATATTATTTTAATATTTTTGCAGCATCCTTATACCAACAAAGTGCCTTAGTAACAAGCCTCTTTTCTACTGCTTCAAATTTCCTTAAATCATCTTCTGTCTAGTCTTCAACAGTTCTGCCTTCTGTTTAATTAGCTTCACCTTCTGTTTCACTATCTTTATCTTTCATTTTAACGACTTCATCTTTCATTTCAATAACTTCACTTTCTAAAAAAAAAAAAAGTACAATGTTTCTAACATAACTATATGATAAAATGATATTTTGCATCATGTAAAAAGGTTAGAATAATATCAGCTTCATCTCCAATAGTTTCTTTTCATTCAAAAACCTCTTCTGCTAGCTTTAAAGATATGAAACGGTCTTTTTTTTAAATATTTTGCTTACCTGCTATTGTCTTTTTGTTTTTTATATTTGTTAATTTTAAGTTAAAATTGATCTAAATCAAAATTAAAAGTCAAATTTGAATTGAGACGCAAGTATAATTAATTATCATAATTTGAACCAGTGCTAAATTATCATAATTTCAGCAATTTCAGCCTGAATTATGAAATTTTAACCAATAAAAGTATGTTTATATGATTGATTTGTTTCAAATTTGAGCTAATCATATAAAAATCATTTAAGTTTAAACATTTATAACTTTTATGTAGATCTTTTTTCAAAAATCTAACCAGTAATTTAATAGAACTTATCATAAAGAATAAAGTTACTGGTTTATTTTTTTATAAATTTTATTTTTTAAAGTTTTAAAAGTTTTTTAAGTGTTACATTTTTATTGTTGAATATAGACTTCTGGTATTAGAACAGTTAAACTTTAAGAAAATCAAATTAATATTTTATTTGAGTAATATATTATTAATATTTCATTGAAATGCATTTACTATAGAATGCTAAATAACTAATTTTGTAATTTCTATTTAATTCTATTTTTATCAATTTCTTTCTTATCTGATATTATATTTTACAAAAGTAAAATTTAGCATATTATAATTATATTTATCAAATTAGATGAAACTAAATTTTATATCTAATACTCTAAAAAAAAATGATTATTTGATAATGGAATTATCCCTTATTGTATTAGAAACAACTTATCAATTTATTTTAATATATGAAAGCTTTACAGTAGAAAGAAAAGAAACTCTAAAAAAAATTTTTTTTAAGATAATGTTAAATCTAAACTTATTTAACTAAAAAAAATCATATTTAGCTTATAAAGTAAAATGTCGTTAGTTCCTACTTCTATGCAAATGATTTCTTATTTCATATATATTAGGATTTTATGTTCTAATAAAAAAAAAATAATAAAAATTTCCTTATAATTCTGTTTTTTCATATACTATAATATACAAATGATATATATAAATTTTAGCTAATTATAAGGTAAAAAAAGTATTATGTATAATTTTTTATATAATGGAAAGGTTGATTAAACCTGTTAAGTAGAACTTGATGTATTGAAAAAAATTCAAGCAAAATTTTATTTGTTCATATTTTATTTTACAGTATATTTAGAAATTGAACTTTGGAGTCTAAACATAAAATAAACTAAAATAGTGAGTTCCTTTTTAATTTATTAATATTGATATTAATTATTTAAATAAATAAATAAATAAATAAATATACGATCAAAAATTATATTACTACAAAATACCTATCAAAAATATATTTTTAAAAAGTTAATATCATTCACTTTTTTTTTGAGACATTTCAGCTTCTATAATATCATCCTTATATATATTATTAACATCGTGCGTTTCAACTTCCTTTATAACCTCAGGTATTTCAACACCAGTAACATCATTGTTATCATCAGTTATTTCAACTTCTTTCATATTATTATTATCATCATTTCTTTCAATTTCTTTCATCATATTATAATTTTCATCGATTATTCCAACTTCTTCCATAATATTATTATTTTCATCGGGTATTTCAACTTTTATATCATTATCATCATCGGATATTTCAACTCTTTTTATATTATTATTATTAATATCATTTGATGAGCCATTTTTTTTATAATTCGTCTTACTTAAATTATCATCTTCTGAATTATTTAAAGTATCATCATTATTGGCAATTGAAGATTTTTCATCATGTATAGATTCTTGGCCGATTCCTGTTCTTTCGGAGAAAGGAATTTGGTAAAATAATGTATCAAATCCTCTCCCAATAAGACTGAATAATATTGAAATGCCGGCGGATATTAGGGCAAATACCGGAATTGGATCGTAAATAATACTATTTTGTTGTAAATATATAATCTATAAAAACAAAAAAAAAGATTTTTTTTTTTAGAGAATCATTTAAGGTATATATTGTTATCAGAAGGGGTTTCGGGCGAAACATGTTTCGCCCGATTTGTAAGGTTTCGGACATATGGGAATGTCTAGTCGACCGATATAGTCCCCACTCAATAACTATTTTATTGATCAGATTATTAGGACTTCATTTGATCGAACGTCAAAAAAAAAAAAAATTTGTTTCCGTAGTCCTAATAGCCTGATCAATAATTGATGAATAAATAAAATGGTTTAACTCACTCTAATGATAAATTGCGGTACATCTTCAATAAATATATTAATAAAACTTCCCCAAAATACTTTAATCTCGGCTTCTTTTGACATTGGTGCACAAAAATACGGCAATCCCGCTAATCTGGACGTAATAATATTTAATATTCCTACATCGGCTGAAGCAAGAATCGTCAATAATGATACAACTTTTGTATTAGCCATGAACCACTTTCTAAATGGTTCATTTGTAGATTGTTCTTTTAATATTATAAATAATGCGAGAATGGCGTTGAAAACGGTCGGCCCGATTAGAAACAAAATACTGGAAGTAAAGGTAAAAGATATATTTAGAATGTATTCAAGAAGCGAAGACAAAGAAATATTAAGTAAAGACCTTGGTATGTATAATGGGGAAACTGTCTGTGTATTATATACGATGAATGCTACGTCCAAGATAAAATCAAAAATTATTATTGCAAATGAAAAGACGAAAAAATTACGCGCCTAAATATTGGGAAAATGATTGATCAGTAAATTGGAACAATCTATGTAGGGATCAAACGTTACCAACTTATTATATGATTCCTTACATGTGGATTTCGATACCTTACTATAAAGAATACACCAGTAACTAATAAGACTCCACCTAAGATAAATAATATACTCATTTTCATTTGAAGACTCCATCCCTCGGCTAAAAATATCACAATCCAAGTTAATTTGTAAGAAGCGAATATTTAATTTTTTTTTTGGTTTGAATTTTATTTGATTAATAAACTTACGCGTTAACAAAACACCATAATTTTCATCCAACATGCTAGATAGAGGAAATCGCGATATAAGAGTGGAATATTTATTCTTAACTAAAGAGTCCAAGACACTCACTATGTCTTTAGCACACGGTTTTGTTCTTGCATCTTGTTGTGATATTCTCACTTGCATGAGAACAAAATTATTAGAATCAAAGGGATCGTTTTGAAATTTTCCCGTATCAGATAACCTATATCTTTCGATAGGAATGATTTCAGAAAATTCATTCATTAGGTCATTATAAAAGATGTTTACTTCTCCCGAATCGAGATATTTTAGATATTTTGTTCCAACGGCATTAAATCTCAATAAAATAGAAGCCGATGCTGATAATAATAATGGTAAAAGTAATTCAATATAAAATTTTACGAGTAAAGTTCATTCGCTACATATAAAATTGTTCCTTTAACTTACATTTGCATGGATCAGGTTCTTGTATGGATGTATTTAAAAACCAAATTCTCTTGTTGATTCCCATTATCGCCTCGTTAAATTTTTTAGAGCTAACAAAGTTATCATCAACGGTGACGAAATAACTTGCGCTTGGATTATTAAAAGTACTTGGAAATATTTCGATGTTTACGGTTGAGTCGTCTGTAATTGAAATATATCTAGATATTCCGGAATATGATTGGCGTAATAAATCATTCAAATTATCAATAACCTGATAAATCGAGATGTTTCCGGGAGACAACAATATGGGTTTATCGTATATTATTGAGATACTATCCAAATTTTTTGATCTTACGGTCATGTCGGTGGGCGTCGTATCAAGGATATTTGGATTTCTGTGTTTATATTCTTAATGTAAAAATCAATTTTTTTTGTTTGTTTTTGGTTTTGACAACATACGAAAAAATTATATAGATAACTTACTATAAACCATATTTTTGTCACGTAAAGGATTGGTCATTATGGACCAGCTAGCAGCATTCGCTTGGTATAACATCCCCCATATCGTATCATTACGATCAATATATGCATAATGAATGATATCACCATTAAAACCTTCCCATTCCCCATCATATTCACCATCCTGCTTTAAAAACATTCCATTTTTTTTATTATCACCCAAATCATAAGTAACCAGAAATCTTCCATCAAATAAAATGTTAAAGGTATCAACCTTTTCATTAGGAGGTCGCTTGCCCATATCTAACTTGTTAATACTTGTTACAGAACCGCTGGTTAAAAATGTTAAACGATAACGCGTCGTAGTCGTTTTAACATTTCCCACTTCTTTTGCTTTAGCTTGCGGTTGTGTTAAAGCATCTGCCGTTTCAATAAACATTAAACAGTTATAACCTTGACCATTTGCGGTTTTCCGACAAAAACTAAATTCCACGTTAGACCAATCGATTGGTGATTGATAGATTAAATACGGCGCACTAGTTTCCGATGCGGTTTTATCCATAAATATCGAGTAAACTTCCCAAGCCGGGTCCGAGACGGGATCATTGGCAGTTTTATAAGGTTTGGTCACAATGACGAAACCATTACCACCATCGCTTGAACTAAACATATCGTATGATCTAATGACTGATAACGGATTTGGAGTTGAAATAAACCCTGATCCAACCTTTATGACTTGTTTAGGGTTGGAAGTCATCGGTGCAAATCGTGACCATGCGATTGCAGTTTCATTTACTAGACGAGTCCACATAAATCCAGTTTCTTCGTTAATATTACGATTAACATTTCCAATTCCAATTCCCATCTCAATATACTGCAAAATATTTCCATCAAAATCAATTATCATTCCCGTATGTATAGTTGTCGCTTCATCCATTCCGTTAAAATATGTTATGAGGATCAGATGTTTATTGATAAAATAATTCATGAAAACCTTTTCTAACATGCAAAAATTATAGTCTGGAACTTGATGAGCGATTTCTAACGACTTGACAGTCCCATCGGGAAATACAATTCTTAAATTTATATCGGGATCAATGCATGTTTGGTCATTGTTATTATAATGAGCGAACTGAATCAAAAGAGTTCCGTCTTTTTCTGTAAAACTATCGAAAAGGTATAATTGTCTTGCTGGATCCTCCCAATGGGTGAAATATGTATCATATGCAACACAAAATGTTGGGAATTTGGAAAAGATTAAAATTGAAATGACAACAATTGAAAGGGAATAATGGAGACGACGGTGATGTGACGAATTAAGATGCATTTGGTGTATCATCAAGTCATCAAGGTTTAAGAAGCTGCAAGTTATAAATTAAAAAAAGAAAAAAAAAAGGATTGAAACCTTAAAAATAAGTTATTATGATATATATATATATATATATTTTTTATCAAACAATTATTATTTGCTGTGTTCGTAAAGAAAGATATTTATGTCGAATTTTTATTTTATTTTATTTTTTTTTTGAAGAATTATTGGAGTTAGAACATGTACAAATTACCTAATAAGCGAACTACCGAAAGTTATGCTTTTAACCTTAAACAGTGATAATGATACGCATTTTGTTTGTTAAGCTCATATATGCAAGCTTGGCTTGATTTGTTATATGAATTGGAATTGGGAATTTATATATTTTGATATTGGAAGCAATGAAGAAAAAGATTGAAATATTTAAAATCCCTACCTTTAGCTTAATTTAGGAGTTAATAAAGTATTCGATTTATTGAAGCATGAAAGAATGATTTATTTTATCGTCTTTATTCATGAAATCTTTGCAAAAATTTTATTTGTAAACGATCTTCTGTACTTTTGTTCGTTTTATCTATCTCAGTTATTATATATAAAACAATTTGAAATAGATTTTTACTTTATTAAGATGAAACAATTGTTACATGATGACACAACGTGGGAATTTGGCCAAAAATATGTTACCCCCCATAAAAGTTAACGTTATTAAAAATTTCCTAATTAAAATAATTGCAGACAGGGTTCAGGAATTGTCATGGGAATTTTTTTGTTCTGAAATTCTTTGTTCCTTAATTATACGATTTAACTTTTTTAGAGAAAACTTGTTTGATCGGATCGAACCTAAAATGTCATTCTTAAAATAGAATATTGAATTAAATAAATCTCGGGGTTTATGCCATTATAGGGGCGTTGTGTACCACATGCAAGCATGCTGCACATGATGAAATGTATGACTACATATAAATATTTACAAAATATAACTAGGGTTCCATTTTACAAAAGGGACTTGAGATCTTGAATTAACAAGTGATAATAAAATTCATTTTCCGACTTAACCGTATAAAGAGATCAATAAAGATACAAAAAATCAAAAAATTAATTCGGTTAAGACTGTATAAAGCAATCGAAAGCAATCAAATTTTAATTCGGTAAATTAATTAATCAAATCCTTTTTGCAAACAGATTCGATTGTAGTCTATTCTATTTATTGTTTCAGATCTTGATTTCCTGATCGGAATTCATTAGCGACTACTAATATACTACTACTATTTTAGATACAATATCTTTTGATTTAAAAATTTCTCTTCGTTAATAATGGTTGTAAAAAAGTAACTGTGAAGTGTAGATTTCACTTGAAAATATGAGCTGTGAAGTTTTTTTCTAGGAAAAGAAATAAAAAAATAAATTCAACATTTGCGGCCTTTGCTCCAAGCCATTTCATTTCAATTAGATAATTAATCTAATGTAACGCCCAATATCAATGTTGATATGATTTTTTGTGCTTTGAATTGGTACACATCGGTTTAGGATAAATTTCCTTACATTATCTTTCATTATCAATTTGTGATTAGGTATACCTGCCTGAGGTCACATTACTATATGTTGAAGGCACAAGAGTTGATTTTATGCACATAAAGTCGAAAATTTCAACGTCGTCAAATTTTGGAAAAAAAGTTCATGATTAATTGCAACAAATTAACTACTTTTGGAAAAAAAAAAGAGTGAAGTAAATTATTTAAGAATTTATTTAGGTAAAAAGAATTGACCTCAAATATAGGTCCTTTTGATTGTAGTTTTGATAACACCCTTAAAAGAATTTCATCTAATAATAAATTGTACAACAATGCTTCTTGACATTTAGACTTTTTGTTTGAAGGTTTTTGAAGTTGAATAAAATTAAACAAAATACAAACAAATAAACAAATCTCAGAATTCTGTAGTTTCCAGGTCCTTTTAGAAGGGTAAAATTGAGAATAATTTTTTATAAATAGATTTGTGCATTTGATTTATTTACACGAATTTCTGTTTTCTTTTTTTTATTCAATTTAAATAAACAGAGAATAATTATGAGGTGTTTTTATTTAAATTAAATGTAACATCATAAACATCATATCAATTCAAGATTAGAACGGATGAATCAAATTTTAAGGATAAAAGTTTTATAATGCAGGGAGTTTTTTTTAATGCGCATAATTCTTTTTTTTGCTTTTTTGTAATTTGCCGTTAAAGAAACAGTACGAACCAATCCCATTCATTTGAGAAGCATTTCTGAAAAGAATCTGATTTGTTCATTCAACTTGGGAAATTGTCACGTGATGATGGAATACATACGATAAACTTTGAACGGAATTAGATCCGATGCTTCTAATATTAAATGCATATTTATTTACTAAACAATTGCACATTGTAATAAAATTTATTTCGCTACTAGGTTCAATTGATTTATTCCCTTTATACAAATTGAAGAGTTCCCTTTATGATCGACTTTTGGCAATTACGTTCATTTTGAAAAAAGGTTTATAAGCCTTCACTTCGACAACTTCAAAAAAATAAAAAAAATAAAAGTTTATTAAAACGCCCAAAACAAACTTCAAAAAAATAAGTAATCAGTTCCCTCAAAAAAAATAAAAAAAAAAATTCTAAACTTCAACAATAATGAATTTCAAATTAATCGCGATTTTGTGCCTTTTGTCGTTGCCATCGTTGGTAATCAGTTATCCGGCAAAAAAGGTTGCAAGTTCTAGGTAAATATCTTTCAACTTTAAAATATATATATCTATTTTTACTTTTGTTTCAACTTACTAAAGAAAATATTCCAACTATTAGCGATGACATGTCCTCGGATCGAGATGGTGTGAACAGAACGAAGTCCTCCAGCAGAATTTCTAATAAATTCTGATTTATCAGGCTGATAAATTAGATAAATTAATAAATTAATATACTGTATTTAGTATATTAATATTTATATTTCATTTAATATTTCCCTAATATAATATTGGACTATTTTTATTTTTATTTTTTCATTTTTATTATTTTTTTATTATTTTTTTAATTTAAAATTGACTATACCAAATGAGAGGGAACAAAGATAAAATATGTAGCACATTGCTTTTGCAGCATACATACATAATAAAGAAAATTTGGTAACTGTTGACTGTCCACAACTGAAAAATTTATTAATAAATTCATGTGATTATCTTTTTGAAAAAAAAATAAAAACTTTTATAAGGAACGAACAAGATCCTTAGTTCCATTAAAAAAAAAATAAAAAATAAATCGACAAACAACTCAATTTTGTTGTCAATCCTAAACATTAAACATTCTTTTGAAATAATTGTTTCCTCTCGTAATCCCTATCCCTATAACAAACATGAAGCCAACTTCTTTAATTTTAACATTAATAATTTTTCTATGCCTTTTCTCATTGGTGACAAGCTTGCCGATTAAGAATAAAAAGAATAAAAAAATTGAAAAAATTAAAAAAGTTAAAAAAGTTCAACCGCCTAAAAAGGCTCAAAAACCTCTAAAATCTAAAGAAGTAACAACGTAAATATTTTAAATATTTTTTTTCTACAATTTTTTTCAATTTCATCTAATCCAAAAGAAATATTGAACTTTAAATAGAATGGGCGCGACTCGGTACGGAATAAACAAACCAAAATCTTATAGCAGAAGGCCGAGAAGGTCTTTGGAATTTGACAAAATCGGATAATTTTATGTTTATCTTTTTTTTTAGATTGCGCTGCATTTTGTAGATTAATGTAATAGAAAGTTGTTTTAGTTGTTCTTTCAAGAAGACTTTAATTTTTTAATAATAATATAATAAATATAAACCAATCAAATTTATGATATAATTAAATCCAAACTTATTTACTGTTTTATAATATTACCAAAAATATTTTTATTGTGAAACAGGTCATAAATAAAATTCCTTAATAAAATTTATTTTTTACTTAAAAAAAAAAAGAAAGTGAAAATATTCTTGAGGAAATAGAAGTAAAGATAAGGTATGATTTTTTAAAATGGCAATGTTGAACGTAAAGTAGTTTTACTTCGCCATATCACAATGATATGTAAAACCAAAAATTATTATTACATGAGAATTAATTAGTTTTATGCAATATGGTCCCATTTGCATAAGCGATCAAAGAGGATGTGTGGTCAATTGTGTTTTATTTTTATTTTACATGCAAACATATGGTATATAAGAACTTCCTTCTTTTGTAAATGATGTTGTTACTTTTAACCCTTAATTATTGTTATTTCGCGTCAAACTCGCGAATAAGATTATAAATTCAAAGAGGAAAAAAATTATTAGACTTTTATCTTTTGAGGTCAAAGTCCCATCAAATAATTTTTTTTTTCCAAATTCCTCTCCTTTTTTCCCTTTTGAAATGACGATTTTAACCCGAACCAAAACACAACAGGATCGTTTTATTACGCTATCAAAGTTCGATTTGGATCGTTGTTACAAATTAGCTTGCGCACAATTATCCGAAGAAATACCCTTTAAAATAACCAAAACCTACGCAAAAGCATTATATTCACCTTCATTTGAAGATATCGTTTCCATTAATAACTTACAAGCGGTACAGGATATTTTCTATACAAAATTAAAAAATAACTATAAAGAGTTCAACGATCAGAAAGTTGATGATGAAGAATCTGATGATGGTGATGATGAAACCGATAGCACGATTTCTAGTGAAACCTCATCCACAACGTCTTTTAGTACCATTGACACGTTTCCCATCCATGATATTGATTGGATTAGAAGTTCCTTGGAAGTTGAAGAAAATGGGGCACCTATTTATAGGTTATTATTTCCTAATATGATCATTTCATTTATGATTATAATTTTTATGATCATTTGGATTTGTTCAGAACTCAATGACAATGAAAACTTCTTAACCGCAACTCATCCTGTTTAATGTACTTGTTAATGTTTTTTAAATATAATTTGACTTCCCTTCTCTTCTCTTGTAACCATACCTTTCTCTCCTTCTTCTTTAAAGAGTCATACTGTGCCTTAACGTTTTCGATATCTTTTAACCAATATAATTTATAATAATTTGGATTCAATTTAAAATGCCTCGTCGGTATGATAGAATCCTCGAATTTCTTTGGTAACCTTTTATATTTATCATACTTATGTTTAATTATACCATGTTTCCTACTATGAATACATTCTTCACAGCAAATTATATTTGTAGTATAAAGGTCATAATAAATCATTTTAATGGGTAAAAGACAAAATTGACAAAGGTATTTATTTGCCATTGTGGTTCTCCAAATATATTCTTGTTCTGTCATATTTTTTGGTGGGGACAAATAATGATGACAATCCCTTTGATTCAAGATCCTATTCCGTTCCCAGATGACTTGTGTCTTTGGTGATTTCGACCATAATATTGTCCTAAAATATTTACATACTGAACAGAGGGAATATAAATCTTGTGGTGTTGAATAATAACAAATCATAATGATGATCTCAACTGGCAGCAATTGGATTGGGGATAAAATAATGAGCGCTTTGGGTTGGGTGTCATTGTGAGATGAAAGTGTAATTTCAGGAATAAGAGGGATGTTGATTGTTTCAGGAGAGGAGTTTTTGAACGATTTCGATTTTCTAATCTGTTTAATTAATGGTTTTAGGAATCTTTCGTACATTATTGTTTGATACGATTTTTTGAATAAAGTGAGAGAGTGAAGATTTTAAAAAGACAATGTTTAACAACGAAGAGAAGGAAGAGAAGGAACAAAGAAAAAAAAAAATAAAGATGGTTAAGAGATATTCTAATTTAAATATTGCGACAGTATTTGTTGCACAGCTATGTGCATGTCAGTTTTACTAATTGAATTGTTTTAACCTTATTCATGAAATCAATATATATCGTTCGATATCTATATCATGAATATAAAATCTGCAACATAATCATAGCATTTGCATAGTGTTTGTTTCTTTTTTTCCAAAAAAAAACGTACGAATGTGCTATATCGAATGTCACGTGGAATGCACTGAATCTGTATGAATTTCTAAATCAATAATAAAATCAAATCAGCAAAAAAGGGTAAGTACGATAACGACTTTATTAGCGGTATCTTTTTCCAATCGATAATAGGTTTTATTAAAATTATTGTTTACGTTATAAATAAGTAAGTAAATCATAAAAATGTAAAAATTATATGACCTTTCGATCCTACTATGTACTGTATATATTTTCTCATGTGCCATAGATTGATTTATACAGAAATTACAAGAATTAAATATTCATTAAAGTTTAATTATAAAAGGTCAAATGTTGTTCCTTCCGTAACAGCTTAGTTATCGATAGAAATAACTTCTGGGGTACTAGGGGAAAAGGTATCATCGCTTTCAGTAGTTCCAGTCGATGGTGGATGATTTTCTCCAAACCGACGTTTGTTAAATCTAAAAAATTCATTAATAAGTATTTTTCATCTTTGGAGTCATAAAGGATCAAAAACTTCACATTATGAACTTACTTTTCAGCGTATTTCATAAAATCTTGTCGTATACTCAAATGTTCATTTGGTACAATTGGTAACGCATTTACCAAATCATTCAAAAGGAATAAACTGCAAAGTAAAGTAACAAGAATATAACTTTTCATTTTATTATTTATTTATTTGTTCTTACTTTTTTTTTTTTTTGAAAAAAAAAAGAAAACCTGTGAATAAATATTCGAATTTTATTTTTATTATTTATTTTATTTTGTTTATTTAGATTAGTTGCATTAATCTCCTAAATTAAACATATATATAATTATCGTTTCACCACATTGAAAGTATGAAGCCTCCTCCCTGTACGATAAACTGAATCTTTATATTTTTGATTATTTTTAGTATTATTAGTTGTAGAGTTGTACATTATTAACAGGAAGCGAAAAATTTCAATCGTCGAATCGGCCAGGGTATGTTTCATTATAAATTACTCTTCTGGTAATATTACCATATTCATTAAAACAAATAACGGAAAAAAATTTTTTTTTTTTGGTGATTTCGTGGAATAAGGAAAAAAATCGATCACTTTGAAATGGTATGACAATGACCGTTTATTCCACGCTAATCCCTATAGAAATTCTGATATACGCGTGGAATATGTGAAATATTTTACACAAGGTAGTTTTATGCCATTTCGTTTTAATGATGTAACAAATAACTGAATTTAAAAGTTTTTTTTTTTTGTTAAAATTGTCCGTTATAGAGTATTACAGATATTCTTTAAATATGAATAATTTCAAAAATGATATTACATTTGTAGATTGATCTATCGTGTGAATTTTTTTTTTTTTACACTCTATTATTTGATAGCTTTATTCAAATAAATATGGATTAATTAAATTCTTAAAAAGAAATATTATGAAATTCGGCATTTAAGTATCACAAGATTTTATTTAAGATGCAATTTATGTTACAAAATTAAATTAACTCCTTTCATTTGCCATCCTCTGCAATTGTCCTTGCACAAATTAGATAACCCTTGAATTCACGGAGTAGCATATCTAACTATGCAAAATTTTGGCTATCGTCCTAAGAACACAGAAATGTATAATAGAAGATTTTATCAAAATAATTATTCCAATTCTTCATAACGAAAACGCTAATTCAATAACGGCAACAAAACATAAAACACGCTTCTTAATAAATCTATTGTATTGAAACCTTATTATTTAAGCATGTCTAATTTATCATCATTCAACGTTTAGATAAACCTTCCCACCTTTGGGGTATATTTGACTATATCACGGAGGCACAAGAAATTTAAATACCTTTTTCTTATCACTAAAATTCCCTGGCAAAAGTCATTTAGCAAATGGCAGAAGTCGAAATCTCGAAACCCTATATTTCGATGGATTTATTATGAAGACTTTATTATAGTTTTTTGACTTTTTGTGGGGATAATTATGGTTTCGCCAATAATTATATTATAGCTTTGTCAGTGAACTCGTCAAAGCCTTATAGTTTTGCCAGTCAACTATACTTCACACTCAATGATAGATAAATAAATTGCTTTATACTATGTATGAGTAGGTGGATGAATTTCTGGAATTCTTGAAAAGAAATGAATGGTATGTTTATTCCATATTCTAGAAATTGTCATTTTTTTTCTTTAAAAAAAAAAGGTCGATTACGTTCTTTTCTCTTCGTAAGTCTCTTCCTCACCTCACTATTATTTTATTTTTCACATCCATAATTATGCATCGTCATGTGGAACGTTTTAAAAATGAGTTGGAGTCACAGATAAGTTTCCTCGCATATCAATTTGCCAAATTACAAACTCTTCAAATTTCCAAACATCAAATAATAATAATATAAGTCAAATAATAATACCAGGATGTCTTACCTTCAATCGAAGAAATCAAAGAATGTGAACATGCGAAGCTTGTTGGTTTCTTATACTTTACAAATAAATAAAGAAAAAGTAATTTCGCTGATGAAGACTTTCTTCACTTAAAAGAAGTCCATCTCATCAAATTGAATTATCTTCTGATTCAGCCAAAAGGATAGTAAAACTTATTAAGGAAAGTTTGAGAAATTCTTTATTTGTTGATAATTCAAACATCTGGAATGAGAGAGAGGTACTTCGAGTGATTAGATACCTTAGTTTTTGACAGAAATTCCTATTATTTTAAATAGCTGCAAATTTACCATAGTAGATTTTTTATCCAATTCAGTGCAAACATAAATACCGGTCTTGATTAGTTCTTGATCACTTCCGATTTATGGTTATATATTAAGGATCGGTTGGAATGAATGTGTTTGATTAGAACACTAAAAGCAATTGTAAGAAAAATGTTGACGGGAAACTTAAAATATCAGTAATAGAATAATAATTCTGGTATTTTAATTTAAATGTTAGTAATAAAGGCTAAAACTTCTAATGAAATGAATATTAAATACAATTAGATTGTTTTGTAATTTAAGCATAATTAAAATACCTTACCTTTGATAGGAATATCAAATAGCTTGGTTTAATACTTTAACTTATTCAGTAGAACTGTATTTTTAATAATTTAGAATATTTAAATATAATAAAAAGAAGTATAAATTAAGATACATCATAATAATAAAATATATATTTTTTAAATATAAAGTAATTAATAACATCAATTTTATCATATTTATATTTGTTATTATAATCTTTTTTTTGCTTAAATCTCTTAATAGATTTAATATAAAAAAAATATATAAATATTTAATATTAAGATTCTTTGGTTTTGTTTAAAAATATATTATTTATATACTTTTATTAATATTGTTTATTATATTAAAATAAGATATTTTTAAAACAAATTAGCATAATTTTTTATTCTATATACTGTATAATAGGTTTATAATATTTATATAATTAAAATTTGTAATATAATATTTATTATAAATTATTTTCATTTAGATAATAGGTATCCTATAAAAATAAATTTTAAACCAATAAATATTTGTTAAACAATTTATATAATATAAAAATTTAAAAATATAAATTTGTATAATAATCATAAGTTATCTAATTTGTAATTTTGGTTAATGAAATGACTTAATTAAAATATAGTGATCATAAATATTTTAAAAGAGGTCTAATTATTAATAATTATATATATATTAAGAAATAATAGTGATAATACTTATAATCAATTTGTAATTATATAGAAATAACTTAATATTAATTAAAATTGCTTATAAAAAAAAGCAACTATATAAGAGTTAACTGTAATTTTTAATTTTAATTATATTTATTTTTTAGATAAAATCTTACATTATTTAATTTAATACAAATTAATATAGAATTTATCTAAAAATAATCATTTATATTTTATATTATCTATTAATAAGTTTAGAATAAAGTAAAGTATTATTACACGAAAATATGGATGACTCAAGTGATGTATATAACTGCAGTAACTAAAATGTCATATATGTCTTCTATGTCTTATAGTATTTATATTTCTTGTATTTTTTATATATATTATATTATTTATATCTCTTATATTACATATATTTTATTATAGTCATTATAGTTATTATATTATTTATATTTCTTATATACAGTCGGACCCCTATACAGTTACACTCTATATAGTCACATCCTTTTTAAGCAACCATTTTTACAAAACTGATTTATAATATAATAAAATAACCTCATTATAATCACAAACCAATTATAGTCACTATCACACAAATAATTAATATACATATTATTTTTATTAATGATTAAACCTTTTCACAGTCACATTAGCCCTGTTCAATTCATGATTAGACCAGATTTATTACAAAATATACTTTTATATGATTGCTTAAAAAAATTATCAGTGGTCAGTAAGGATGTTAACGGTTAAAGGTAAACTGATTTTAAACTAAAACCGTCGTAATTTCGAATTTTACGAATTTCGCAATTTCAAATTTCAAATTACAGGAATCAATGCATAATCACTACTAATTCAATCTAAGATCAACACTAGTTAATCTGAGGTTCAACACGATTTAATTCTATAGAAATTTATCAAATAAGTCAAATTTCTTGAAACTTACGTAATTTTAACTTAAATTTCAATAAATCTATAACAATAATACTAATTCTATTCTAATTTATATTAAACTAGGTTTTCAAATTCGTACGTCAATAGATCATTTGACAGAGGAGAACTGGTTGAATTTCTTGTTCAAATTAATTTTTGTTCCATTCTAAGTAATCAAAATTGTATTCAATTGCAATTTTGATCTATTTTTTTCGATCAATTCGGTATGATCTTGACTATTATTTTTGATTGTCTATAGATCTTTAATGAAATTGCGCATTCAATTTATGACACGTAAATTGTAACACATTACACATAGAAATCATATAAACATTACGCACAGCAGAAATAAAAAAATGCCACTTTTCCTTCTTTGAACTTTATATAAATGCCACTACATCGACAACATAAACAAAGTCGCTTAGCTATTAGTGATGTTATTAAGCATCAAATATGCGAGTGGGAAGAGGCAAACAAAAATAAAAAACAAATAGATATTGCAAATTTCTTTAATGAGAAATATAATTTGAATATTGACCAAAGTACTGTGTCAAAAATTTTGGAACATGTGACAAATAGAAAGCTGTAGTAGAAACTGAGTGTTCTAGTAAAACTTTTAGACATAAATCAGTTAAATTTCCATTATTTGATCGCATCATAAATTTATGGGTAAAAAATATAACAGCCGGAGGTGTTATTTTAACAGATTTGTTAATTAAGGAAAAGGTCAGATATTTTGCTAAAGCATTTAAAATACCAGAAAATGAGCTGATTTTTTCTAATGGTTGGTTAGATAAGTTTAAAAAGCGTAATAATATTAGAAGATATCATATATATAGAGAATCAGGAAGTGCATCTTTAGCAACCCTTCCAGAAGAAAAAGAAAAATTGCACTAACTCAATCAGATTTCCTCCTGATCAAATTTAAATATTGACAAAACTGGGCTCTATTATCAAATAGCACCAAACTAAACCCTCTTAACTAAGCCAGTTCTTGATCAAAAAAAAAATAAGATGCGTATAACAGTTTACTTGGCGTTAATGTAACAGGAACAGACAAACTTAAACCTTGGGTAATTAGTAAAGCAAAATGACCAAAACCTCTTTTACATATTAATTTAAAGCATCTTCCTGTTCATTACCGTAAAAATCCCAAAGTTTGGATGAATTCAACAGTTTTTGAGAAAGTACTTCGTGATATAGATTCTTATTTTAGGATACAAGATAAAAAAATCTTGCTTCTAGTAGATAATGCCCCATCATATTTTGATCCACATTACCATTTACTAGAGTCTGAGTAGGATGAAAATAAAGTTGATGAAGAAGAACTTGCTTCAACAACTGCAAGAAGAAGAATTTCAAGATCTGCACGTGGTATGTTATTAAAATCAAGCACTTTTTTACTTGCAAATAATATGGCATTTATTAATTAAAATTACTT